TCGCCCTGATTGATTATTCCATCATTTTTCTTTTGAATTTCCATCATGACGAATGAAGAGTGCTACCGTAAATTTACATGAAACGTTATCCTGGTTCGTTAGTAGTCTCTTTACATATCAAGCAATCATTCAGGAGCACTCAAAACGTCATCATAAAAGACATCATCTGACTTTGTTCAACTTTTTCCCCTGTAAAGGGCGACTGTGGCTGCGAGGGAGTGCGGTCGTCTTTCAACCAGAAGGTTGTGGGTTCGATCCCAGCCCATGCAGTCAACTTGTCGATGTATCTTTGGGCAAGATACTGAACCCTGAGTTGCTCCCGATGGCCAACGGTGTGTGAATGTTAGGTCCTAGAGTAAGGTACACTGCTCTGTATGAATGGGTGTGAATGGGTGAATGACATGTAGTATGTAAAGCGCTTTGAGGGGTCTTAAAGACTGGATACAGTGCTATATAAGTACAGTCCATTTACGGTAATTGTCACTATTTTTGGGAGGCTTTTTCGTTTGCTGCGAGAGTCTAGAAACAGAGGGTGTTGTTGGCTGTTAAGCCATTGCTGAGATGAACGTATTTCTGATATTGGGCTGTTAATAACATTGGATTTATCACGTAAACTTTATTTTTGCTGCAACATCTCTTATTTCCAGCTTATTAAAGTTACACCCAGACCACTGTGAACCCTAAGCATATTCCACTTTTTAAAATTATTTAAGGGTTTGCCTAGGTAAAGAAGCAAACAAAGGGGTACATAAGTTCATTCAGATCTTCATGTATTTGACATGTCCTGTATTTACAATTACAGGTCCCTATTCTTCCTCAACATGCTCTAGAAATCTTGTTTCACCTTGCTGTAGCGATCTGCAGGTAAACTCAAGGACCCAGGTGGTAAAATACTTCAATAGCCATCGTTTTAAACAACTTGAAATGGTAAATGGACTGCATTTCTATAGCAGTTTTCCAATCTTTGCAACCCCTCAAAGCGCTCTTACTCACACAAGCCAGCATTCACCCATTCATACAGAGGCAGGTGCATTCAAGCTGCTAACATCCACACACATGCACACACCATTGTGAAGCCACGCCATCGAGAGCAATTTGGGGTTAAGTATCTAGCCCAAGGACACATTGACCTTCAGCTCGGAGAATGACAATCTTCCTCCTGAGCCAAAACCGCCCCACAGCCTGTACTTTCACATTTACTATAGTGGATTAAGTCCTTTCAGATGATGTTGATGTGCTGCGTTCAATACAGTACAACCTTTTCATCCTTAGAAATGAACTTTTGGAAAGATACTTTTTGTTTAATTTGGGGGTTAATTAGTGTAAAAAGCTCTGAAATGATCAGAGCAGTTGAGCAAACCAGGTTTAGTGTGAACGCAGTAGGGCTGTGCGATTATGGCAAAAATCATAATCACGATTATTTGGGTCAATAATTGATATCACGATTATTAAATACGATTATTCATTGACTTTGAAAAAACCCATTTATTGAACTTTAAAACAAATACAAATAATAATTTGAACAGTATCTTTTTAAACTGTTGATTACCCTGAACGTATAATTCAACTGAAAAACCAATACAAAAATAAATTAAATAAATGATACATTTAAATAAATAATATCAAAATAATAAATACCAATAAACAAGATCAACAAATATTTTGGAGCGCACTTCCACAAGCTACTAAACATAAATATGATAAATACAAATAAATTAGACTAAAATAAATTAAATCAAATATGTTGAAGTGCACTGTCACAACCTAGCAAAGCAAAATAATTGTTTTTTTCGATTATGTTGTTTTCGTAATTGTGGCAGGCCAAAATCGTAATTGCGATTAAAATACGATTAATTGCACAGCCCTAGAACGCAGTAAGACATTTGAAGCTGTGGCCTTGTTTCTAGTGGCTCCTTTTGGGCTTTTCAGATAGCTGCAGGGCCGAGAGATGAGTAACTGCAGAGAGGGAATAAAAGAGGCCATGAAGTGGACCTACAGCAAGGAGAAGATACTGGGTCACTCAAAGTAGATGGATGGACTGAGGACGGACGGAGAGGGAATACAGGACAGTATGGATGCGAGAAGAAAGGAATTGAGAGTAAAGGAGAAAGAGAGGAAGGGGGGGAATAGGGATGAAGGGAGAGGAGATAATTGGGCCTCATTTGCAAGTGTGTCTGTGTGTGTTTTGCAGATTTCCTCGGCTTCAATGTGGGTCAAGGGTATGAAGGCAGTCTAACAACTCCTAGCTACTGTTTCACAAGTGCTTCACTGATGTTGCTTTTCAACTAACCTTTCATAATGAGAACTTTTCATGTGTTTTAATCAGTCTCTACCCACCATCTTTGGCTCATCTGCACCCGGTGAATACAACATATTCAAAGTAAGAGCCTTGACAATATGTTAAGAGCGTTTGTTTATCCCACATTATGAGCAATTCCCATTTAACATACTTTATTTCTGATCTGTGTATTGATCTAATTAAGCTTCAACAGATTTAACGTTTTCATAATGAGTAAAACCATTATATGCAGGTTATCGGTTGCTGTCTGATTGAATTCCTTTAAGTGTAAATCGCCCCATTTACCTTAGCTTATTATTGTATTGATAATTAGAGGGTTTGTGATGCTATGAGTGTGCTTTGTTAGAAGCTGCAGGCTCTAAGCACAGCAGGGAAGTCATTACGATAAAAACATCTGAAAGCAGTAAAGAAAACTACAAAAAAGCCTAATTATTAAAGACAGAAAGGATATGTCACTGAAGGTACACTGATAACACCTGTTATTGACTATTATTTAACTAGGATTATAACACGGCTTAGACCCCGTTTACACGCAAACGCAAACGAACCGAATACGATATCAAAAAAGTCTTCCGTTCACACGAGACCACTCGAAAGCGCTGGAGACGCTGTAGTACATATGCCGGGCCTGTAAGTGGCGCCACAAAATACACCAAAAGCAGTGAAGAAGACCCCCGAGCATGGTTGCCATGGTTGCCCTTCTGTTTATGGGACACCTTGGGACACGTTATCGTTTGCGGGGTCCGTTTCCGCGTTTCCGTTACGGCCTCGTGTGAACGAACGGGCTATACGAAAGAGAAAAGTAGCGGATACAACCGTTTGCGTTCTCGTGTAAACAGCACCTTAGTTGAAAACTGATTCCGATTGGTCAATTTGGACATTTCAGAGGTTGTTAATACTTGATAACAGACTGAGGATCGAGAGACTATGTGCCATCATATCAAAGGTACTAATATGACGTGTCTCTCCTCTCTTTGGTATATACTTGCTTTCACTTGAGCTGGATACACTTGAATAAGCTGAATCTGAAACAGCTTGGATATAAAAAACAATGCAAGCTTTTACTGTCGCTGGTCACACTGGACTTCCTCTATTTGCATCACTGCTCTCTTTCATGAAGGGATTGTTCCAGTCAACCATATTGTCACACACACACACACACACACACACACACACACACACACCGTACAGTACATGTGCAGAGATGCATGAACAGCTGCGAATTAGGGGGTCCTAATTTCACTCCCACAAAATAATTTCTAGGAAAAACATGCATTTGTTCTCTGGGTACAAGAAGAAAAACTTTCCGCAAGAAAAGCACTTTAAGTCCCCTGCTCAGTGGTGCATCAGCTACTGTGGTGCGGTGTGTGTGTGTGTGTTGTAATCAATGTGTGTGTGTGTGTGTGTGTGTGTGTGTGTGTTTCCAAGGTATCATAGCTCAGTCATGCAGGTAAAGTCATCATCACCAGCAATCTGCTCAGGCCTCTAGGGGATGATGCATGTGCACACGCACACATGGATGCACATGCACATGAACACACACTGATGCACAGATGTGTATGCGCACACTTACACACGTAAATAATTTCTCCCTGGAGTGTTTTTCACTCCGGTGAGGAGGACAGAGGACAGGGGGGGGGGGGGGGGGAGTCCATTCACCCGTACAGACAGTAAGAAAATTAATTTGTCACAGCAGGTTTATCGTCATGACAACCTTCCTTTAATTAACGGCTAACAAACAGCAGTGTGTGTGTGTGTGTGTCTGGGAAACACTGATAGAAAGAAGGGAGACAAACAGTCTTCCCTTCTGATTGACAGGAATAAATGGCGAGAATGGAGGTCTGCTATGATGCTGATACCTTCTTGTGTGTGTGTGTGTGTGTGTGTGTGTGTGTGTGTGTGTGTGTGTCAAAAAGTTCAGGTGACACTGTAGTCATGCAATGGGTTCAGGTGCATGCTTCCAAACAGGGAATTTTAAGACATAACATTTTATGAGATCTGTTTAGAGTCCACCTATTTATATATAATCACAATAAGCTGTTTTTTCTCCACTGCACAGTGTTAATTAAACTGTAATGAATAAGTTATAGTGTTTGTATTACATGTATATAGTTGACTTATTCCTGTTTTTAACTTGCACCATTGTGTCACTTCCAGTTCTACATGTCTTCTTGTGTCTTCAGTATATTGTATGCTGCATTGTCAAATATAATATTCTTTTGGCATAGAAATATGGATTAAATTCTACAAGCAATATAGGCTTTCATCCATCTGGCTGCATCCTATCTGTATCAAAAGGACAGTCCTGCTATATATCAGCGTCACTAACTTGCGTGTGTGTGTGCATGTGTGTGTGCAGCAGTCAGAGCCAGCGGCAGCACTGACTGTGTGTCACAGCGACTTACAGTAATAAAGAGCCATAACCTCGTCTCGCTGCTCAGAAAACTTTGGGTTTGTGTTTTGAGTGCGAGTTGAGTTGCTGGCATGCGATGAAGAACTCAACGACTTCTGTCCGACAAGCGCGCTCCGTCATGTAAAACTAAAACATCTGAGACAGAGGAGCCTCAGACCACAGAGCTCTTTAAAAGTCTCAGAGCATGAAAACAGACCCGCTGCCTCATAGACCACCAGAGAGAAAGAGCCAGTGTGTGTGTGTGTGTGTGTGTGTGTGTGTGTGTGTGTGTGTGTGTGTGTGTTTTACCTCTTGAGGTTAAGCAGAGCCCAGGGGATGCCGGTGGGCGTTTTGAAGGCTGGCAGCAGCTTTTCACCCAGCTCCACCGCCTTCCTACGGTAAACCTGAGACAGAAAGAAAGAAAGCATTTCATTAAAAAAGGCTTCTGACTCACACTTCACATTTTCTTGATCAACACTGCATCCCACGAGGAAAAAAGAGAATGACTTTCTACTGCACACAATGAGCCTTTTAGACGCATTACTCAAGAATAGTTTGGCTGTCATTTAACCATGTAAACATACGATATGACTTAAAGCTTACCCTAACCCTGTAATATATATAGGTAAAACTAACCCTTATTTTCATTATGGACAGCCTGACGATCTTTTCTCACTAAATCGTCTTAATATAAGTCCCGACAGCCTAAAAATAATGTGTTCTGCTGCTTGTTTTAGTCAACTAACAGTCCAAAACTGCAAAAACATATTCACTTTTCTTTCAAAAAGAACCAAAAAGCCCAAATTCCTCAATCTAACAAGATGAATTCAGAAGACTTGAAAGTAAAAGATGACTTAAATGTGTCTTTTGATGTAAATCAGCCTATTAAAACATATGTCTAGTAATTTATTGGTTGCACCCACACGGTTGAATGCACTTATTGTAAGTTATTTTGAATAAAAGCATCAGTTTTGTCATTTCATGTATTGTTAAGCGGACATAATTATAATCCTTCTTTTCTGGAAGTCACAGATATAGAACTTCTTCATCTCAACACAATGCAATAAAAACACACACTGTCTTTAAAATAGGTTTAGTAAAGCTGAACAAAGATTTTAAAATAACTAATAGGAGCAGTACGACCAGCCAAACGACAGCACCAGGGGACGTACTCCAGATCTGAGCCCAGAGCTTTCTACCAGGGCGACAACAAGGACATCTACTCAAGGAAAGTCACTGAAATCATATTCTCTGAAACACTGGATTTACTTTGCAAATATAATACTCCTTCACGCCTTCTTCACAATCTTTCTACCCCTTTATTTCCTCTTTCCTGTCTCCTTCTTTCAGTCCTTGTAATCTAACACCATCTTGTATTCCATGGCTTCCCTACTGTAGATGTTTGACATGTGTAATTTAAAGGGAAATGACAGGCGTTGTTTTTAAATAGCAGCGTTTGGTTTCTGGCAACAGAAAAGAAAGAATAGTTTAAAATAAGGACTGTTCTTTAAATACCAACTCAATGCCTATATTTGCTGCTACAGTAAATAAGCAAAAGGAAGTAACATAGCATGTTTTTCTCAGTCCTTTGTTATCTTATAGAATAAGACTTTACAGACTGAGCTGGTGAACACGAGGATGTGTTTTTCTGACGTCAACTTACACCATTTTTGGAGTAGTGAAGTCATTTTTCTGGAACGAACAATGTGTGTAGAGAGGCTTGAAGTCGCTTTGAATAACTGAAAAATATTCAACCGTAAAACTACAGAGCAAAAGAGTAAATGTACCTGAATGTATGTTATGTATTAAACTAAGCAAAGCTGTTTTATAAAAGCTCATTTCAGGTAGTGGTGTGTCGTGACTTATGACCTGAGTCTTATTAAGATATTTGCATGTATTCTTTTGAAATAATGCTACTTTTTTGATAGTTGTGGCACTTTTTAGAACACAAGTAATGCCTGGTTGTTGACTAGTAACAATAACAGTAACAAGTAATAATCTGCTACTCAGTATTATGTATCTAATACCTAATATATATATATATCATTCCAATAACTTGTATATAGACTCGTACTGCACTATTCCACATCATCACTTTATTTTATTTTATAACTATTATTCTTTTTGTATTGCTCTTGCTCTTATTGTTGTTATTATGTTATTATTATGTTGCATTGTTGGAGAAGCCTGTGACATAAGATTTTCAACTACATAATTACTCTGTAGCTATGTCAGATTGACAATAAAGAACCTTGAACCTTGAACCTTGAGTAATCATCACTTTTGACCAAACTATTGTTAATCTTATTATCGGCTTCATTTTAAGATGTTATTGCTTCAATGCAGAACCACTTCTTCCCTTGAATAGCTTTAAACTTTAAGTGCGAGTGGATTTGATTCACTGGTCCGAGCTTTGTGTTAGCATATCAGAGCGGACAGCTTTGTGGCCCTTTCAGCCGAGGGGTGGCGGCGTCTCTTAGGTGTCGTATTTTGTTGGCTTTAAACGTGAAGTACTTCCATATTTGGCTCCTGGCACGGGTTGAGTCAGGCAGTTAAGATGAAGTGGGATTTGGACCAAGACGAGGTGGACTGTTTGGCAGCGTTGCAAAGACCGCTGCTGTGCACTGACAAGAGTGAGGGTGACGTGATGTCAGATTTTCTGCCTTTTTTATATCCCTGACCCTCGAGAGGAAGTGTCTCGTTCACGGATTAATCTACCAGAAAAAGGCAAAACTAAAGTCCGTATTGTTTTGGGCTTGGAACAAGATTTCATAAGCACCCTAGTCAATAAACGTTAGAAAAAGCAAAGACAAAAGTGGTTCAGAAGACTCAGGTCGACTGAAACTAATGCACCAGCACTTATATTGTAAATTATTTTTAATATGGCTTTTAAATTTGGGTTAACTTTCAATTCTCACTGGTATCATTGTCCATGTTTTACTGTATTTTTCTTCTTGTTCTCTAAAGCACTTTGGGCTGCTTTGGGCATGAAAGGGGCTATACAAATAAAGTGTATTATTATTATTATTACTACAATTGTATGGCTTATTTCATGGCTATATTTCAGGCTGTTCTGGGTTTGCATCCTCATGGTTTATTGCACTTACTGTAAGTCAGCTAATAAAATGTAATGTACCGGCCAAAATGTCATCACACAGAAGCAGCCTAACCTACACAACAGCCATTTATGATGATAGAAAAGTCAGTTAGATCTGCCTAGTCATTTGTAGAATAGTTGATTATTGTATAAAATGTCAGGGAATTGTGAAAAATGCCCATTCTAGTTTCTCAAACTCTCAAATAAATGTACTTTAATAGGATTTTAAAAGCAATACATGGATAATCTCCATATTTGAGAGGCTGAAAAGTGGATTTTCTGCCATTTTTGCATGAAAAATAACTTCAAAGTAGTTAGTGATTATTTTTCCATCGACTTATTGTTTGTAATCTTTGCGGGTTAACACCTTTTTGAAGAAGCAACTTGTCATCAAGATTTATGAATAAGGGAACAAGTTCACTTTTAAAAAGGATGGACATCATTTAAAAACAGTAACACAAAATCTGAGAAGGCATGGAGAGCTGCAACACACACACAGGACTTCTAAATCCACAACATTAATGCAGCAGCACTTCTGTAAACTGTATACGCTTCCTACATTCCCATAAAATGTTCCCTCTCACTTGATTTGCTGAATTTGCAAACCAAACACAGCTCTGATGAAATTGCCTCGTGTAACTGCTGTGCATTACATCCCAAACACAGCGAAAAGCCTTGAATTATGAGATTTCATAACGCAGGAATAATGGTTCAGTGTAATTACATCCCATAATTCAAGTTTGGTTTTCACACTCAAATATAGGCACGACTCGAATAATTAAAGTTTTATATACCAGCCGGCCTCAAAACCATTTCTAAAACTTACTGTGTTAATTAGGGCTGTGCAATTAATCGTATTTTAATCGCAATTACGATTTTGGCCTGCCACAATTACGAAAACAACATAATCGAAAAAAACAATTATTTTGCTTTGCTAGGTTGTGACAGTGCACTGCAACATATTTGATCTAATTTATGTTGGTCTCATTTATTTGTATTTATCATATTTATATATGTTTAGTAGCTTGGGGAAGTGCGCTCCAAAATATTTGTTGATCTTGTTTATTGGTATTTATTATTTTGATATTATTCATTTAAATGTATCATTTATTTAATTTATTTTTGTATTGGTTTTTCAGTTGAATGATACGTTCAGGGTAATCAACAGTTAAAAAGATACTGTTCAAATTATTATTTGTTTTAAAGTTCAATAAATTGATTTTTTCAAAGTCAATGAATAATCGTATTTAATAATCGTGATATCAATTATTGACCCAAATAATCGTGATTATGATTTTTGCCATAATCGCACAGCCCTAGTGTTAATATTACCAAAGTTTGACCAATTACAGTCAAATCAAGCTGTCACACACACACTAGCTGTTACATTGAATTCAAACCCACTTTATACACACACACTCACATCCAGGTAGAATCAGACCAATATAACAGACAGACCAACACACATCACTGCTCTCTGTCATGAACACACACACACACACACACACACACACACACACACACACACACACACACACACACACACACACACACACACACACACACACACACACACACACACACACACACACACACACACACACACACACACACACCACACACACACACACACACACACACACCACACACACACACACACACACACACACACACACACACACACACACACACACACAACACACACACACACACACACACACACACACACACACACACACACACACACACACACACACACACACACACACACACACACACACACACACACACACACACACACACACACACACACACACACACACACACACACACACACACACACACCCATACCCAACAGCAACCCCCCACACCCCCCTTGTGACCCAGCACTCAGCAGGGTGTGAGAGACGGGGCAGGAGGGGTAGACAAAGATTTGTGTGAGAGGATACTCATCAAAACAATGTGGCACCTCGACAGCTTCTCCTTCAAATGTCAGAGGCAAGAAAAGGTCGGAAGAGCGGGACGAAGAAGAGAGGTAACGGGAATGTGGAATAAGCGTAAACGTATAAACATTTGGTTGGATTCTCAAAAGACTTAAAAATGATTGTTAGAGAAACGTATATTTATCTAGTTTTCCTTATTAATATGACAGATGAATTGGTAATGGAAAATGTAAAGCTCATAGTAAAGAACCCGTAGAGAGTTAACACTCAACTCAGGTGTTTTTTAGTTTTAGCCTCTTTCAGCTTATTATTCTGGTTTCACATATTTATTGTTTTGGTTCGCTCCTCTTTCATAAACCCAGTG